CCCCAAATTTGGGTTTAGGGTTTAGGGTTTAGGGTTTAGGGTTTAGGGTTTAGGGTTTAGGGTTCCCTATACTAAGGTTTACGGTGTAGGGTTTGCGGTTTAGGTTTCGAGGTTAAGGGCTGCATTACAAGGAACTTTATAGGAACCCCCTTAGGGGATCTACTTATTGGATCCTCTTCGGGGGCTGGCTGGTGATCTTGGGTGATATAGGGTTCATGCCGGTATAATGTCGAGGTTTTAGACTCTTTTGTGTTTTTTTTTGGTTTGTGCAGTTCCTCTCCCGGGGTGTTTGATAGGGATTTATCATTTTTCGTCGGGAGCGGGATCCGGTTTTTTGGAGGTTTTCGGGCTTGAAGGCTTGTGGGGTTTGGGCTTCGGGGCTTTGTCCCCTAACCACAACCCAAGAATTGTGTACTATAAAAGCCTGAATAATTACCTGAAGATTCCTTACTATATTTACATTATAATTTGCTCGACACCCTAGGCTTGTTAAAGATCCAAGTCGTGCTACTAAGGCCCATACAATAAATCCGCACAAAGCCCTTCTGTTCCCCTTGATCCTAAACCCTAAACCCTAAACCCCAAACCCTAAACCTCCGTCATTGATGCCTTTTAAAGGAGCCCTTTCAAAGGAATCCCACGGAAACTATTTCAGGCCCCTAAACCCTAAACCCTAAGCCCTATATTTGTGAAATTAAATCATTTTCTGATTCTCAGCCAGGTGGCCTTTGAGCAGCAGCGACGCAAACATCTCTGATCGCCAGCGCTACGAAGCCGCCCTGTAACAATCCTCTATAGTACCCTCGTCGGTTTAGTGACGGAACCCTTAAACCGAACCCTACACCCAGACTTCAACTACAGCATAGGTTTAGGATTCAAACCTAGGCTTTTCAGAATTTCAGGGTTCAGAGACCTTCCCAAATTCGAGTCCCTAAACCCTAAACCCTCCGCCCCAAACGCTGGATCCTCAGCCTAAACCCTAGGCCCTAAACCCTAAACCCTAAACCCTAAACCCTAAAATGGCTACGGCTCAAGGCCGTTACCTCTCGAGTACTTCCCGTTGGTTCTTCCGTGCCCTGTTTTCAGCCCTGTGGGGAGACTTTCCCGCCATTGCTTCGCGCGGGGGCGAGAGAAAGAGGTGAGGACCTACTGGAGGGCGAGTTCGCTGGCTTCGCTGCAGAAAACCCTTCCTTGCTGAGTGTGAACACTGGCCGGGGCGAGTTCGGGACGATCCAAGACGTCTGCCTTGGGGTGATTCTGCACTTTGTCGCCAACTTCTCTGGAGCCGCGGGTGGTGGGCGAGTTCTACACGATCCTGACGGTGCGCTACAGGACGATTCTGCTGTCGGTCGACGTTCTGGACTTTGGGAAGGGGTGATACAGGCGCTGCCATCAGGTTTCTCCCTGCGACCATGGATCCGGACCAGCCCATCGAGGTCGATGATGAGGGCCACTCACCGACGGAGCTGGCAGATGAGGAGGAGGACATGGAGGGAGAGCGACACACCAATCAAGTCCTGGTGACCAAGGAAGAGATCGTCAAGGATACCCACCATGAAGCCCGAAAGAAGAAGAGGGAGAGACCGGTCACTGAAGTCAAGCAAGAACAAGAAGAAGGAAGCCCCAACAAAAGAGCCTCCGCTTCTAGTGATGGCCCTCTTTCCGGACGAGAACTGCGGGAGCTGCTACAGATGCATATGTTCGAGATGAGGGCTGCGTGGGGCGAAGAACGAGCTCGAGTTGATAAGTTGGAGAGCAAGCATGCCAACATTGAAAAAGAGATGAGCGAGGTGAAAGGACGAACTGCTGCGGTTGAGTTGAAGGTCCAGGAGCAGTCCATGAACCAGGGGCGACATGAAAGGAAGCTGGATGAGATCGCCGAGGACCTTGCCAAACTCAAGGTGGAGGTGGGTGAAAGGGCCGTGCCCGCTGGAAATCATAGAGAACCACGTGCTCAAGAAGACCCGTGGGCGAGCTACCTCAACAGCCGACAACGTGAAGGGAAAAAGATGTACGCCGGGAACCCCGTGGCCCGTCATGGAGGAGATGGTGGACAAACTGAGGATGGAGGACTGACCGAGGACGAGAAGCGCACACTCATCCTCGGCGGATGGGCTCAGGACACCAAGAAGTCTGTGATCGAGACGGAGAGCAAGGTGCTACTAGGACGACCTGAACTACAAGGACTTCTCGATGTTGAACAGGCAGCGGTGTATGGACCACGCAGATCAGTCGGAAGCCTGAAGTTTGAGTTCCGTGCGAATGAAGACTTCAAAGCAGTCAGGGAACGAATGTGGGGTGTGGTGAAAGGGCTTCGTGACATGGGTGAGGTGATGCCAAGTGCTAAAGGTTCCCCTCATCCGAGACCGGCGTGGGCAGCGTTCGTCAAGACCAAAGAAGCTAGAAAGCGGTCGTCCCTCATCCGAGACCGGCGTGGGCAGCGTTCGTCAAGACCAAAGAAGCTAGAAAGCGGTCGTCCCTCGTGAGCCAAATCCGGAGGGTGACCATGCAACTGGCAAGCGACTGCACCACTGACCAGGGTGCACCGCGGAACCCCCATGCGGTTGTACAAGAGAACTATGACTGTGACTGGAACAACGGGACGATTTGGTGTGGACCAAGAAAGTTGGGGTCGTCCACTCACCGACAACCGCGGACACAAGGGGTGATTCTTATGCCGGGCGGATGGGTCGATGTGCAGGCGATCTGCGAGACCACCGGAAGTACAGAGGCGGACATTAAGGCCGCCTTTGAGAGGGAACTCTGAACCAATGCGGCGACCTGTTTCACACAGCCCGAAGGTGACGTTGACACGGACCTGGCCAAGCCATTAGGTGAACGTCATCCTGGGGCCGCTTCGCTACGCGGTGCAAGACGGCGAGCGGGGCGATTTTCACAGTGGAATTTAGGAGGACAGCCAGTGGACACTTTGGAGGTTGTCTTGCATGATTCGGATTTCGTTGCGGTTCAGGAAGTTGCCCGTGGAGAACCAGGCTGGGATGAGCTAAATGATGACCACTTCCACTGGGTGCTACATCGTCATGGGGAACAATATCGAGGAGTTGGCATTGGCATTGCGCAGGACCTCCTTGACAGTGTGGTGGACAAGATCGCCTCTCCCAGGGGGATATGGGTCCTTGCCCGGATCAAGGGCATCGGGGGAGTTGTGTTTGGGTCCATCCATTGTCACACAGGTGCCACCCAGCAGACCTATGCCAACGCGGTACAACAGTTCTTTTACGGGCTTAAGAGAAAGTGGCGACAATATCCGATCGTTCTCGGTGCTGACGTCAATGAACAACCAGGATGGCATGAGGCAGAAGAAGGGCACGCGGAGGTGATCAACGCCAACGTCAACCTGAGCGCGTTCCTTGAGGAAGCAACACGTGAGGGAATCGTACCTGTCGTACCAGCCCCCTCTCTTCGACAAAGCCCTACTCACTTTCCGCGGGATGCCACAAGAGAAGGGAGACAAATTGACATGATCCTGGGGAAGTCCATGACCATGAGCAACGTCCATTTCCGGCCCGAACTTCGTCACTGCATTGGCACTGATCACGCAGAGCTTCACGTTGACATCTACACGTCCATTTCCAGGTTTCAAGCGTGGGGACAGGACACCAGGCCCCGTCGTCTTGCGAGCCTGCTGCCAGATCATGAGATCATTGTCGATGAGGAAGACTTGCGGAAGTTGGCTCGTGAATGCACTGCACCCAGGGCGTCCCCCGTGTACCGTGACTCGCAGGAGATCAAGGACATGATCCACCAGGCCAGGGTGAACAACGACAAGGACGGCTGGAAGCAAGTACACAAGATGCGGAAGAAGGCCAAGAGACGATGGCAACAGGAAAGGACAGAACGAGTTGTACACGGTGACTGGTCTGCGTTCCGGTCATACAAGCGAGACCGCACTCGGAAGAAGGGGTGGTGGGGCAGAATGCTACAGGACAAATCAGCGGTCGAGTTGACAACGCAGGTACAACAACATCTACAAGACAAGATGACCAATCCCGCTGACGAGACCTGGCCGGAGAGACTGGGGAACTTCATTCAGGCCGTACCTCGTCCGAAAACATGGCGGCCCTACTCCAAGGAGGAAGTCTTCGAGTGCCTCTCACATATGCGACCACACACGGCGGTCGGCCTGGACATGGTATGCGTGGACCTCCTGAAAGCCATCGTTCTCCACGACACTCTCGGTGAGCAGCTGGTCGACCTGATCAACCACATTATCTTCCACAATGAGCAGCCTGCAGATTGGTCGACGAGTGTATTAGCACTACTGGCGAAGTGCCCATCGCCAGCTGCGCCAGGCGACCTTCGGCCAATTTGTGTGGGGTCGAACTTCGAGAAGCTGGCCAACCGCCTTATTATGGGACGAGTCTTTCCTGCACTCAGAAGGGGATCCCGAATCTCCACGTGTGGAAAGGGGAGGCAAGTCGCGGACCTGATCGGGGCAATCACTCGTCTGCGGGACATGGCACACGAATGGAGGGAACCTTTGCTCATCGCCAAACTTGATGTGGCTGGAGCGTTCGACCGTCTCTCCCGGGATGAGGTTGCCCGCATGGTTGTCGCCCGCACTTCGAACACCAACCTGGGGGTCGAAGTCCAATTTCTTCTTCGACAACTCGACGTCAACACTCTACGAGGCACAGTGCCAGGAGGTCATGAAATCTCAGTCCATGCCAATGTTGGGATTCGACAGGGGGCTCCTGACTCCGCCGAACTCTTCGGCTTGGTGATGGGCATGCTACTGGATGACATGTTGGAAGGAGGACCATGGAAACAAGTCGGGTTTGCCTTTGAGGACCTCCCGGTGGACTTGCTCTTCTTCCAGGACGACGTCTTCGTATTCGAGACCACCGCGGCACGGCTGGCACGTAAAATCGAGATCATCGGCGGAGCTCTGGGACAGGGAGGACTTAAATTGGCCATGAACAAGACAAAGGTGATTGCCTCCCCCGACTACAAGGGCAAAATGGTGATCCGAGTTGAAGGTCAGGACGTGCACATCACGAAGGGGTCCTCGATTCGAGTCTTGGGTGTCTCCTTTGATCTGGGTGGGCCACCTTCCCAACAAGCTGAAGAACTACTTGGGAGGGCGCGGGCAGCCTACTCGGAGCACCGACCTCTGCTGGTTGCCAAAAGCTCATGGAAGCAAAAGGCCTACATCATCTCCATGCTCATCACTTCGACGTGGAGATGGTCGGCAGGGTGCGTACACTGGAGCAAGGAAAGCCTCGCCAAGGCCAATAGCCTCCAAGCCCAGATCTTCAGAACCGCCTTCAAACTGGGACGTGAAAAAGGGGAGAACTGGGTGGACTGGAACACTCGGACGCTCCGGCTGGTCAGGGGCTACCTTCATCGACATCAAATTGAACGATGGAGCACCCTCGCTCTGCGGCTTCAGCATCAACTACTTGGACATTGGGCGAGACACACAGAAACGATCAGAGAGGGCTGGGAAAGCATCGAGGGAGTCACTATGAGGTGTCTCCGGTGGAGAAATCAGAAATGGTGGGAGGAACAACAGGCCCTACACGCGTCTGGCTTAGGTTCTAGGCATCCCCGCAGCTTCTACCCCTCTAACATGGAGAGGCAGATCGCTGCAGTGGCTGGCAATGACTGGCCCGTAAAGGCTCAGGACCGCAACAAATGGAAAGAAACTCTTATCGCATACCTACACAGATGGGACGTCAAGTGGGCACGGGGACGACAGTTGTCTCTCATGGCAGATTGAGTCAAGTAGGTGTTGTCAGTGCGAGTGACGTTTGACCAACGGATTGCCCTGACTGCGCTGATTGACACTACATGCCTGATGCACCACGCTTACATGTTTCTCGAGAACCTTGTCTTTTGAAGTTGAACGATTTTCTCACCCGTGATAATGGCCTCTCTGCGCGGACGGTTGCTCTTCTGGGCTGCTGTTTTACTACTGGGGCGACTTTGGTGTGGGCACCCCTCTCCTACGCTCACCGCGGTCTCTTTGCAGCGCAGAACCCCTATGACGTCCTCTTCCTGGCGGGGAACAATTGCAGCCTACCTTGTGCACGACATGGACTGCTACAACGCGGTGCCCTCCCACGCGATCTGGACTACCTCCACCTCCTCAACCACGAGCACGACCAGCACGCCAGGGGAGATTTTTCTCCACGTGGGTGAACATGCATGGGTGATTGGCAACGACTCCACCACGAGTTCTACCTCGTCTGTTGTGTCCTACTACTTCGCGCCGGTGCACGAAGCTCATCTGTGGGAAACCAACTGGGATGGCAACCAAGAACCATGGCCTACATGGGATGGGGGTGACGTCGACACGGACGAGAACCTGGAACCATCCCAAGCGGCACCCGCCCAAAGTCAAGATCACGATGAACCAGTGCCCACACAGATGGACCTGGGGGAGGAGGACACGACGGAGAACAACCCGGACCTGAACATGACGGCAACGGTTCTCGCCAACCCCCAGGGTGACGCTGAGGCCGACTACGTGGACCCGCTCCCCGCCTTCATGCAGGACGATGACTACGTCATGAACTACGTGCGGGCCATCGAGGAAGCACATGCTCGTCTTCGTGCTGAACAAGAGGGGAGACAAGACTTGGGAGGTCACACGGTGGAGGATCCAGGGCGAGACGCCAACACTGTGGGCGGGACTTCTATGGTGCAACCAATGGTGGACACGCCTAGCTCCTCCTCGTCTCACATGCCCTCGCCCAGTCACAGCTGGGAACATGCGCAGCCGTCGTCTTCCTCGTCCACCTCTGTGCCTGGAACATCCTCGAGCACTACGGCGCCACGACCGCAAGACGCGGCACAGGAAGGATGGATCCGACGTGGAGGCAAGTGGCGAAAAGGTCTAGACCGTTGGCACCACCAGGATGGAACACTACGCAGACCACGGACTATGCACAACGCCTCCACGTATCACCCCGATAACGTCTGGCCCCTTGGTTGGGAAGGGGAAACACCCAGCACAACTTCTCCGCACCATGTGGCACCAAGTGGGAACAACACGCTCACGGCTGACTCGGAGGTGGAGACATCGAGGGCTGGTCAAGATGAACAAGAAGCAGAAGATCCCCTGGTGAGCTGGGCGAGAATGCAGACCCCCTCGTGCTCTTCTCCTTCCTCCTCAAGGACTTCCCGTACAGGACGCGGACGAGGGAGACCTGGAAGTCACACCCCAAGCTCCTCTAGTGAAGACGGAGGGACAGAGAGCGAGGCCTCCATGGATGACTCTTCTTGTTCAGGGGTGAATGCGTCCAGCAACGCCTCCACCAGCACAGGAGATGAAGCACCAGTCGGCTTTTGGTCTCATGGCACGTGGGTGCCCCGACCACGAACAGCACAGGAGCTTCGCACTCACATGGGAGGCCAGGGCGCCAGGAGGTTGGCAAGACGAGAAGCCAGGATGAAGTTGTGGAAAGAGGGCAAGTGGCTCCCCTCATGGCTACAACGTTATAAAGATGAACGACTTCTACGCAACAGACTACGCGAAGCCTCGGCCATTCCGGAAGACGAGGAGGTTCACGTCGTGCAGGAGGGTGAGAACGTCAAGTACAGTGAGGAAGATGGAGTTGGCCCTGCCACGACGAGCCAAGCAGAAGAACAACACGAGGACGATGAGGTACTCCCACAACAAGCACAGCCAGGGGTGACCACGGAAGATGGAGCGCAACCTGCCAACGACCATCCCAACCTCGAGACCACCGTGGATGAGGCAACGTGTCAGCCTGCACAAGTACTCCCCTGGGGCGACATGGATGGACATGAGGGCGACGTTCACGTGGACAGTGTCACTACCGCTACGGAGGAGGAGGGCTGGGGTGAGCAGTCTTGGGGAGACGGTTGGCAAGAGTGGAATGCATGGGGGAGCTGGAGATGGTGGTCCTCACCCTGGAAGTGGACCGCTGATGAATGGCAATGGGACACGGCCAGCACATCGTCCAGTACCACAACTTCAACCACATGGATGGACGAAGTTAGCAACATGCAGCTCACCAACAACGAGCGAGCAAATCTGGAACAACTCCGGATGTCGCCGGTCTTGGCGGGGCGATTTGAACAACTTTTTGACGTCCTTCATGAACATCAGGTACAAGAACGCGGACCGGAAGCTCGATGGGCGCTTCAATGCGTTCTTCGCCGTGCAGAACAGGCTGAAGAAGCATTCGAGTTGATGCTCAATGTCATCGCGCGACGCCTCCAGCCTAGGGGAGTTTTACCGATCACCAGAACACCTGGGACGGACAACCAAATGCGCAACCTGTATAGCTGGGCACAAAACTTTGCGACAGTGATGCTCCACACCATGGAAGAGATTCTTCGACGGCCCCTTTTCGACCACGACTTTGAGCCCGAGTTCACAGGCCAGGCGTCTTCGAGCTCTTCAGTCAGGGCGGCTAGGACAGAAGGACGTGCACCCTCGAGCTCACCAAGGCCTAACTCGTCGGCGAGCCTGAGGACGAGGTCCAGAAGCAGGGGGAGATCGTCAAGGAATGAGTCGCATGAACCCACTGGCAGCGAAAGGGACAGAAGCCCAGCTACTTCGGGGCCACTGGGTGACTTGACCGCGGCTTCTGCTTCCTCCTCGCTCCCGGCCGGGGCGACTCCGGGTGAACTTCTTGGCATTTGGCGGGAACCAGAGACCGATGATGGAGGTGAGATGCATGCGGCCCTCGACACCCAGACGACCACCCTCACGACAACCACCTGCCCATCTCCGACATGGTGGGAATCACAGAGGGTCAAAGGAGGACTGCGCAATACCTCGACGACAACCACGCCGTGCCCCTGCTCATCCCCGTCGTCTACCATGCTGAGCTCCTGGTATCCGTGGACGTTGACATGGCTGTCAGATGGGACGACTTCTTCCACGACAACTACCACGACGAGGAGTGTGGAAGATGTCATTAGAGATGCCGTCAACCTTCGGGTTTTCATGGGAGGACGTGCGGACATGAGGGACCTTATGAGACGACTACTTGACCGAGTACGAGTTCTTCTCCGACTTCAACGATTGACCCAGGTCGCCATCGAGGAGCTTCAACTGTGGATGGTCAGGGAGGACTCTGAGCGGCCATGGAATGCAGCTACTCAAGAGCATCTTCTCTGGCATGTCATCTCGAATGGAGCAAATGGGGCGACCGGGGATGACGTTGGACTCCACATCCCACAGGCTGCGCACGTGATCCTCCAGCCTGACCTCCCGGACCGGGAAAATCTACGTCGTCAACTACCTGGTCAAAGCGTACGGCAGGTAGTGGGCTATAGGAGGCGAGCATGGAGGCAGCACGCCAACTGGGTCATGAGAGGACGACATGGGGAACCGGTCGACATCCCGGTTAATGGACAGCACCTCTTCCTCATCCAGACGAACTCCACGGTCGCCACCAACAATGTCCCGGCAGGCGCCGCGGTGCCACCAGATCCTCACATGGACCAGCTCCGCTTTGGGTTGATGGTTCGACGCAGAGTGCACAGAGCCCGACCTGCAACTGCCTTTGAGGGAGGGGCAGCCAGGATGGTGAGAGCAGCCCTTCATGAAGACGGGCCCATGCTACGACGTCGTCAACCAGGTCCTGGACATCACCCGGCTGCTGACTCCTCGCGTGCTGCTGGCTCCTCGCGCGCCCTCCCAACCGCTGGTCCCTCTGAAGCTGATGCGGGTGAACCACGTGCTGAAGCTCGAGGACCACGTCGGGGACCTGGAGGGGAACGCGGCCATGATGAGGACGAAGACGAAGAGGAACCAAGTGAGCCGCCCCGACGGGATAGAAGCCGTAGCCGTGACGGTGTCAACTCTGAGTAGAATCACTGCTCAGAAACCACAAGTCCATGTACAGTCTGTTTCGAAAGGACAAGTGGAACAACAGCCTCGCGCGCAAGTGCGGATTACTAGAGCAGGGTAGGGCGAGATGTGTGGCTTGTTATGGCCATGTCAATGTAGTGTTTGGCCCGAAGGGCTGTGGCTGAGCTCTGCTGCGGAGTGAAAGTCCCATAGCACTTTTAAAAAAAAAAAACCCTAAACCCTAAACCCTAAACCTATCCTCAGCCCTACAGCCGACGACAGTAAGCCCCGATTGCAAAGTGTGCTTCTGGGACCGGCCTTCTGCCACATTCTAAGGTTAGAAGTATGGGCCCCTAATATGGACCCTTAGGCCTTTCTAGGGACCCTTAGGGGCACATGTAGTGTATATCGTAGGTGTATAAGGATCCCAGGGTGAAGGACCCTAAACCCTAAACCCTAAACCCTGAACCCTGAACCCTGAACCCTGAACCCTGAACCCACACTAGGGGCCCATGGTTTCAACCGTGGACAGATTGTTCCAGATGCTTTTCAGCATCTCTTTGGGCGCCTCTCCGCAAATCCCGGGACAAGGTTTAGGGTTTAGGGTTTAGGGTTTTAGGGTCTAGGGTTTAGGGTTTAGGGGTAAGGGGTTAAGGGGTTTAGGGTTCAGTGTTTAGGGTTTAGGGTTTAGGGGTTTGGGGTTTGAAGTTCT